TCCACACTAAATCTAAGCTTACAGGTTACTGGTGATCAAAGAGTCAACGAACTATGGAATACAAGTTGTAGCTAAAGTAAAAATAAGAGCTGAGTCCCTTAACACCTCCAATTGTACAAGACATGTCCTGTCCTACATATATCATATATTAATTTTCTTGTCCTAGGGCATTCTATCTGTATTACACTGGTCACTTTCTTTTGTTAAAAAACATGCAACTCACAATTCAGCATTCAAAAATCCAAAGGAGTGGAAAGTCTGGCTTGTGTTTAGATACTTTTTAAGTATAATTGCATTTTAGTTGTGTTTTCACTTTCCAGATTTTGCAAATAATTTCTCTACTACCAATGTTGCGGTTGTTTTCTTAGATTTTGAATACCTAATATTGGCATCTGTGCAGTGCAGATAAGGTTCACAGACCCAGAGCATGCACCTTCTAAAGCAAGTCACCAGTGGTAGTTCCCAGGAGTCTGTCCTTCCTGATTTCCCTCCAAGCCTATTGTATTTTGATAGCCAGCCCCACCAGCTGTTAACCATTTAATTACTGGGCACTTTCACCCCCTTCCTGATTTCCCTCCAAGCCTATTGTATTTTGATAGCCAGCCCCACCAGCTGTTAACCATTTAATTACTGGGCACTTTCACCCCCTTCCTAGCCATGCTAATTTTCAGCTTTCAGTGCTGTCACACTTTGAACAACAATTGCGCAGTCATGCAACACTGTAACCATAATAAAATTGTGAATGTGAATTTAGGCCACTTTGTATTCTACTACATTTCCTTGGTGAAAATAACCCAAATCAGTATTTATTATTTAGTCTGTAGGAAAGTTATAGAGTTTACAAACTATGGTATATATATCTGAAAGTAGATCAGTCCTGATGTACTGACTACCTATCTCATTTCTTGAGGTCTGAAAATGCGAGGAGTCCAGGACAATACAAATATCCTCCAAATTTTAGAAAGTAGACAGTCCAAGGTATTTAGTAAGTGGCATGGTGAGTTTTTTGAAATTGTGATTTTTTTTGGTCATCCTATAACTGGTGTGACAGTGTTCAGGGGCACTGGCCGGTGACAGCGTGTAAAATAATATTAATAATAATAATAATAATAATAATAATTTGCTTTCAATTACATTTTTTTCTTTTTTCTTTTTCTTTTTCTAACACACTGTGGCCATATTAAAATAATGTTACCATAGTAGTAACATTGTACTATTCTGGAGAAGTGATCAGGATTTTTTTTACACATTATGATTGCTTGTACCAGTGAATTTCACTGGTATAAGCAACAATTTTTACTGAATGAAATTGATTTATTCAGTGTTTACTATTGTGGATAGCTGTGATTGGCCACAGCTGATTACATGGTACAGAAGGGTTGTGATTGGCCCTGTCTGTACCATGTCATCACTCTGACCAATCACAGAGCTCAACAAAATACTACACAATGGATGACATAAATGAATGCCATCCATTGTGAACAATTGTCATGTGATCTACTGTGACTGGTCACAGTGATCACGTGATACTGGTAGAGGCCGGTACACTGATCGGTCATTTGCGGTGTCTGGTGGACAGATCTTGCAGCAGGGCGGCTCATGGGGCACACGCGAGGCGCATTCCGGGAGGACGCCATATGAAGTGGTTAATATGCCTGAACAGCAAATATGCCAAAATGCATACAGTGTATTGCCAGGTTTAAGCCATACAGACAAAAAGCATACAGGATGCAACCAGTAAACTTTGCACACAACCAGCAAATCATCCATTGCAGCCAAAGGGCTAGCCACACAGCCTACCAATCAGTCAGAAAGCTGATTATTTGACATTTTCCACTGAAGTTACCCTCTTGTTATGCAGATTTTCTTCATGTGCTCAGTTTGATTTGTGAAATGTTTTCTGGTTTATTAAAGGTGTTTGGCAGTGAAAACTTCAGGTAAACAAATAAATGCAGTTAAAATATACAATATATACAGAATCTGTTTACCTGATCTGTTTTTAATTCAAAAATATCAAAAAGTAAACAGTAATGCCTAATGCAAAAGGGATCAATGCAGTCAAAGTACTGAATATTAGTGTCAGTAGCAATTTTTCTTCTTAATAGTTAACAATATGTTCAGAATATATTATAATAAATGGTATTTTAATAAACACTACATTAATGGAAATATGCCTCTAATCATATGTAGTTAAAGTGTACAATCTACCATATATAATGTTCCTTATTAATACATGATTTAAATTAATATGACCACGCTGGACCATCAGAATAAATCAGTACCTGCTGCAACAAGTGGATATAATGTACATGATGAAAAAATGATGATCTTCAGAAACTAGAATGTAACCCTGATCTCCTGAAAGTAGTTTGTTGCATGCCAGTCTCCATGTGAAGATTTGGGGACAACCTCATCCACAATTGTTATTCTTAAGCTTTCCAATACATAAAAAACACATTTAAACAGGACAGTACCCATTGAATCTTACAATATCACTTATTTAAAAAAGTCTCATAATACCTGCTCACCTGAAAACATGAAAAAGACCCAAAATCTTCTGGCTGAAACTGAAAACACAAAATATTCATACATATTTCATATTTTCAATATTTATTTTTAGCCCTTTCTACAACAAATAGATTAAGAAAGGACATATATACAAAATCACTATACTTTCCCCTAATTCTTTTCACTGATATAATTGCAGTAGTTATGGGCAGACAAAAGCTGAAAACATGCAGATAGACGAATAAAAATGGAAGCTACCGAATACTTAGCATAGTGTGTAAGTACCGGTAGTCTCTCCCAGTCCCACTCAACTCACCTGGCTCCTCTGTGCAAATGGGACCACACAGTGGGAATCAGAAAGTGAGCATTGAAAGATTAGTGAACTCTCACTCATCATTCTTACTTGTCATTAATATACATGGAAAGATTGAGCTCTGAACATTAGGCTCAGTGCACCAGTGGCAATAGCTGCAAAGCAGAGGCTATCTGTTCTCATCTTCATGGTCTGGAAGCAGAGGAGACGTCAAAAGTACAATAGATGATTAAATATTGCCTGTCGCTGTCACTGTCTCTTTACTATCACATAAGGGGCTTGTAAGCCTCCCTTCTGATAGTATTAATGTGATAATACTATAGATAGACAGCGCCGAGTTTTTTTATATTTTGCTAAAAAAAAACAAACACCTGAAACTTTTGAAAAAAAAAAAACACACTTTTCTTTGTTTCTGTTATGAAAGTTTGCAAATAAATAACATTTCTTCATAAATTTAGGTCAAAATGTATTCTGCTACATTTCTTTGGTGAAAATAATAATAACTTAATTTGTATTATTCACATGTTTCTATTATTTTTTTTATTTATCAGCACACTGTGACCAAAGCAATACAATGTTACCATAGTAACATTGAACTACTCTGGGCAACTGATCAGGATTTTTTTTATTTTTTATGGAGCCCAGTATTAAGGACAAAAAAAAGCTAATTTAGGAGTATATGTGCTATGATGTTGCTGCTGCAAATGTATTGCTAAGCTGGAATGTAAGTTCACAGCTGGAATTGAATAGGAATGTGCTACACATTCCTGTGCAATTTAGTGTGATGCAATTTTAAGGCCATTTATTTGAATGGTCTGAAATTACACTGGATAGCACCAACAGTAGTGCATGCACTACTTTTTAAGATGCACTGTAACTGGATTGCATGGTACTGCGGTACCATGCGATCTGGTGCAGACAAATGCACTGCATTTGTGATCTGAAGTTTAGGTGTTGTTAGGAATCTATGGACACCCACAGCAGATCACACACCCAGTGAGGTTTATTTACTAAATCTGGAGAGTGCAAAATCAGGCTCACTTCTGCATAGAAAACAACCAGCTTCCAGGTTATATTGCCAAAGCTTAATTGAACAAGCTGAAGATAGAAGCTGATTAGTTTCTATGCAGAAATGAGCCTGATTTCGCACTATCCAGCTTTAGTAAATAAACCCCAGCATGTTTGGAACATGCACAGAACACAGGTTTCCCACACAGTGTGTGGGGGTGAACCAGCACTAAAAAAATATTTTATTAATAAACTTTTAATGAAACTTGAACAACACCACATATGTAGGTGGAAAACTATGTTTTCAAATTACTAACAAATCTCAGAGGTTTGACAATAAAGTTTATGAAGAGGACCAGAACAGAGGTCTCAACGCAAGTTTTAATAAGTCCTACAGCAGAAAGAGCACTTGTAAACAAAGATTTTAGAAGATTCTTTGGAGGTAAATCCATCAGCAGCCTAGATAAATTGTATTTAAAGGATATCTGGTTTACTGCAAAGTTGTAAAAAAAATATTAGAAAATCCTGTATACCCGAGTTAGGTCAAAAACATTGATAGAAACAATTTAACTCTCTGCAGAAATATCAACAACTTATATATGAAGGACATTTTTTTCAGGAGAGTAAAAAATATGGGATGTATTGTTTTGCCCATTTGGGGCCAGTGGAGTGGTGCTGCCCCTGAAACACTTTTATCTGATTTTGGTCTGACACTCATTGCTGTATTTTTATGGTTTAAGCTACTGTTGAGTGCCCATTGAGGGAAGCCTTGCTGTTTGGGGGTCACCTCTCTAGAGCTATTGAGCTTATTTGAAGTTTTACTTCATCTGACTACATTTGCAAGTCTAAAAGTTCCCAGTGCCTCTTTGAACATATTGTTCTGGAAAAGGATAGTAAGGTCACCCTTGCCTAGGCACCACAGGTGGAAGTGGGGTTAGGTAAGCATTCTAACTAACTTTTTCTCCACAAATTATTTCTTTTTAATTATAATGCAGTGTTCTGTTCTGGTGAAGGGGGCCCTTGCTAAATGAGTGGACCTTGCATTTTAGGTCCACTATAATAATTTATGGTAACCTATATGCCATAGATCACCTAATAAGCAAAACTCATGCAGGAAAAAATCCCATTTTATTATTTGGCAACAAAAAAAGCTTTAGAGCACTATTTCATTTTAATACAGGTGATGCAGTCTTCTAAAGGATCCAATACGGGCATTTAGAGCTCCCCATTCAGAGTATTTCTTGTATTCTCCAGGTCTCAGATAGTACTGACGTCCTCTGTAGTTGGGTTCTTCATAAAACATCCAATGACCATCATGTACGTTACAAGAGTTAATGTCGTGGTAGCGAAATCTCTCATAGACATGGGGGCAGTCCTCTGTAAATTCCATCATCTGGCCTTTGAAGTCTCCTCTCTCATAAATTCTTAATTTAAAAGGGCCATGGTGCTAAAAAAGGAAAATAAAATATGGATATGAGCTTAACTTCATCAATTTTTTTAAAGCAGTGTATACAAGTTTAGTTTTTTTTATTCAATCAGTGGTTGAACGAAAAAGAAAAAACCTCACAGATCCGCACAGCAACACAAGCAATGTTTTTATACAGGGATCTCCTTCTGCATCTTTGTAATCTGACATAAGGGCCCCCATCCCTAGACTGCAAGCGCTGATCGAATGCTGGTTTTCCAGCAGGACCATTCAACAAAAGCTTGTTGACCAGTTTCTGTTGAACAGAGAGGTACACATGCACTGAATTTCAGCCAGTTCCTGCTGAACCAGCTGATTTGCGATCCATGTATTCACTGCTTAACACTATGCAAAATCTTTGTATTCAATTTATACTGCATTCAGCAGGGTTTTAGTGTTGCATTTTAAGATTTGGTGGTCATCATAATATAACAAAAACATCTATTGTTCTCACCAGGACATATTAGGAAAGGATGTGATGTAACCTGAGCCATGCAGGCCATCAGATTAAAGGGAATCAGGAATGTTTTGATTTGGGCTTTAATGACTTCTGGATGGGTTAAGAATGCCTTTTTTGTGTTGGCACCTCTACATCATTGGTTATATTGACAATAGGACAGATTCAGAACCATTACTGGAGAGAAAGGTAAGTAGAATACTTAGAATTTAAAATATAACTCTATAATGTAAATACCGGAGGTGTCAGGCGACAGGATTTGATGGAATCATTGAAACCCATCCACTGGTGGAAGTCAGGATATTCTCCTCTCCATAGATAATACTGGTGTCCTCTATAGTTGGGGTGTTCATAGAGAATCCAGTTTCCGCTCTCTACACGGATGGAGTTGCAGCGGTTAAAGTAAGAGGACATATCAGTACAATCAGAGCTGCATTCATAGCATCGGCCCTGAAAGTTCCTGTCCTCATAGAAATATATCTGCAAAAAGATGTTAAACTATTATCTATGCTTTATGTAAAGGTTACATTTAAATATAACACACAAACCAATTAAACTACATTTTTAGTACTTTAGTATTAAAACAAATATTGTACATTTATTTCTGTAGAAATGCAAAACCCATTTAATGACACAAGACAATGTCGTGCATTTAGCTATATCAGCAAATCAAATATCATCTTACACTTATCTAACTAAACTACACTGACCAAGAACTATATGTATCTGTGGCTAGTGAATTACAGAACATTGTTAATATTTAAATGATGGTGTACATTTATTAAGCAGAGACAATTTATCTCATTTCAGTTCTCTGCAGTTCTCAGGGAAAAATCTTCTCCTCTGTCCCCCTGTTTATGAAGCGGAGAACATTTGTTCTCAGAAGGAGAAGAGAGGAGAAGTTTTACCTCTGAGAACAGCTGATATCTGTGTAGAAGGGGTAGGGCTGCATGTGATCTTGTGAGATAATTGTGTGATTACAGATCACCTAAATTTAAATAGTGAAACAAAAGTTAAAAAGACCATTACATGAAAATAATAAGCACTGACCACTGGTACTTTTTAATTCACATTTTGGCACTTTCTTTAAATGCGCATTTTAGCATCATTTACGTGCATTTTGACGCTTTTTAACATGCTGTATTTTTTTTAACACGCATTTTGACATGGGGTTTTTAATGTGCATTTTGGTGCTTTTCTAAACACACATTTAGGCGCTTTAATGCACATTTTGACACAGGTTATTGTAACTACTTCCTGCCCGGCCTATAGTAAAATGATGGTGGGGCGAACCTCTCGTCCCTCCGGTAGGGCGTAATATGATGTCCTCCCCGGATCACGCTTTGCACATGTCCACAGGGCTGTGGTGAGATCTGTCACCGGCTGTGTACCTCTGACACAGCCGATGACAGATCTGTGTACAGGCCCCGTTGCCAATACCATGTGGCCTGCTGGGACCAATCACAGCAGGTCACATGATAGTTGAATACAGTGGATGGCTTCCTTTCATGCCATCCATTGTATACAAGTGTGTCTAGCTGTGAATGGTCACAGTGATCACATGCACAGGCTGGGCCAATCACAGCCCATCTGTGTCATGTGATTAGCCGTGGTCAGTCACAGCTAATCAGAACAAAAAAAAAAAACTGAATGATTCGATTTCATTCAGTTAATTTCTTGCTTATAGCAAATAAATTCTTTGCTATAAGCAATCAAATTGCATAAAAAAAAAAAAATACTGATCACTTCCCCAAAGTAGTACAATGTTACTATGGTTACATTATACTACTTTGGTCATAGTGTAATATGATAAAAATAATCTTTAAAAAAGAGAAAAAAAGTTTAATAAAAAATAAAAATTAATAAAACATTTGAAAAAAAAAAATCATTTTTTTTTTCGTACTGTCACCAGTCAGTGTCTCTGATCATCGCCACACCAGTTATATGATGATGCTGTACTGCACTAGTGACAGTTAAAATAATTGATTTAAATTCCTCATTTTCTAAAAAATTCTGACAAAAAAATGCAACTTCAAAAAACTTTTTTGGGCCTCAAGAAATTAGATTGGCATTCAGTACTTCAGGATTGATCAATTTTCTGATATACTCCATAGTTTGTGAACTATGTAACTTTCATACAGACTAAAAATAATAAACACTGATTTTGGTTATTTACACCAAAGAAATGTAGCAGAATACATCTCGGCCTAAATTTATGAAGAACAATTATTTATTTGCAAACTTTTATAACAGAAACAAAGAAACATTTTTTTTTTTTTTCAAAATTGTTGGTCTTTTTTTGTTTATTTAGCAAAAAATAAAAGCCCCAGTGAAGATTAAATACCACCAAAAGAAAGCTCTAGTTGTCTGAACAAAATAATAACATTTTAGTTTGGGTACAATGTTGTATGACCACGCAATTGTCATTCAAAGTGTGAGAGTGCTGAAACCTGAAAATTGGCCTGGGCAGGAAGGGGGTAAAAGTGCCCGGTATGGAAGTGGTTAACATGCATTTTGGTGTGGTTTATAACGCACATTTTGTCACTTTTCCTAACAGGTATTTTGGCACTTTTTTTAAAGTGCATTTTGATTTGGTTTTCATGCATATTTTGGCAAACTGCATATCTGCTAGCCACTTTTGGCTGCCATTAACAAATAATGGCACCGCAAACATGACATGCATTTTGCATGCGTTTCCAGAACACACACAAAAACACAGGTAAAAAATTAGCCAAAATACATGTTAAAAAAGCACCAAAATGCACATAAACTTTTCAACTCATTTTTTTTAAAAATGTGTGTTAAAAAAAGCAGCAAATGTTTGTTAAAAACTGCAACAAAAATGTGCATTAAAAAAGCCCAAAAAAGCCAAACGGAACCTTTTTTGGGCATAGAGTGTTGTGTGTTTTTTCAATGTGCATTTTGGTGCATTGATAGCATATTTGTATATATAACAATGAATGGCACCCAAAAGCGCACTGCATATTTTAACACAATTTTACCACAATTTGCAATTGCGGCAAGAATTGGGCAATTCTGCCAACAATTCTGCATTGCTCAGGTGTGAATGCGTTCCAAACGACAATACACCATACTGTGTGTGTGTGTGTGTGTATATATATATATATATATATATATATATATATATATATATATATATACAGTCAGGTCCATAAATATTGGGACATGGACACAATTCTAATATTTTTGGCTCTATACACCACCACAATGGATTTGAAATGAAACGAACAAGATGTGTTTTAACTGCAGACTGTCAGCTTTAATTTGAGGGTATTTCCAAATCAGGTGAACGGTGTAGGAATTACAATAGTTTGCATATGTGCCTCCCACTTGTTAAGGGACCAAAAGTAATGGGACAATTGGCTTCTCAGCTGTTCCATGGCCAGGTGTGTGTTATTCCCTCATTATCCCAATGAGCAGATAAAAGGTCCAGAGTTCATTTCAAGTGTGCTATTTGCATTTGGAATCTGTTGCTGTCAACTCTCAAGATGAGATCCAAAGAGCTGTCACTATCAGTGAAGCAAACCATCATTAGGCTGAAAAAACAAAACAAACCCATCAGAGAGATAACAAAACATTAGGCGTGGCCAAAACAACAGTTTGGAACATTCTTAAAAAGAAGGAACGCACCGGTGAGCTCAGCAACACCAAAAGACCCGGAAGACCATGGGAAACAACTGTGGTGGATGACCGAAGAATTCTTTCCCTGGTAAAGAAAACACCCTTCACAACAGTTGGCCAGATCAAGAACACTCTCCAGGAGGTAGGTGTATGTGTGTCAAAGTCAACAATCAAGAGAAGACTTCACCAGAGTGAATACAGAGGGTTCACCACAAGATGGAAACCATTGGTGAGCCTCAAAAACAGGAAGGCCAGATTAGAGTTTGCCAAACGACATGTAAAAAAGCCTTCACAGTTCTGGAACAACATCCTATGGACAGATGAGACCAAGATCAACTTGTACCAGAGTGATGGGAAGAGAAGAGTATGGAGAAGGAAAGGAACTGCTCATGATCCTAAGCATACCACCTCATCAGTGAAGCATGGTGGTGGTAGTGTCATGGCGTGGGCATGTATGGCTGCCAATGGAACTGCTTCTCTTGTATTTATTGATGATGTGACTGCTGACAAAAGCAGCAGGATGAATTCTGAAGTGTTTAGGGCAATATTATCTGCTCATATTCAGCCAAATGCTTCACAACTCATTGGACGCCGCTTCACAGTGCAGATGGACAATGACCCAAAGCAGACTGCAAAAGCAACCAAAGAGTTTTTTAAGGGAAAGAAGTGGAATGTTATGCAATGGCCAAGTCAATCACCTGACCTGAGTCCGACTGAGCATGCATTTCACTTGCTGAAGACAAAACTGAAGGGAAAATGCCCCAAGAACAAGCAGGAACTGAAGACAGTTGCAGGAGAGGCCTGGCAGCGCATCACCAGGGATGAAACCCAGCGTCTGGTGATGTCTATGCGTTCCAGACTTCAGGCTGTAATTGACTGCAAAGGATTTGCGACCAAGTATTAAAAAGTGAATGTTTGATTTATGATTATTATTCTGTCCCATTACTTTTGGTCCCTTAACAAGTGGGAGGCACATATGCAAAGTGTTGTAATTCCTACACATTTCACCTGATTTGGATGTAAATACCCTCAAATTAAAGCTGACAGTCTGCAGTTAAAGCACATCTTGTTTGTTTCATTTCAAATCCATTGTGGTGGTGTGTAGAGCCAAAAATGTTAGAATTGTGTCCATGTCCCAATATTTATGGACCTGACTGTATATATATATATATATAGAAGTATATATATATATATATATATATATATATATATATATATATATATATACTGTACACTATATATAAAACAGCTCTGGGCTGGAGAATCTGGGACAGAGATGTTTTTACAGAGATGGTCAATGAGTTCTTCAGATCTCACCTTCATAAACTGGCCATCTCTATAAAAGTAAACGATATAAGGGTGTGTCCTATGATGAGAAGTGATGAAAATGTTCTCCGCTCTTCACCTCAGCTTCATAAACTGGCACACCTGAGAGATCAGCTGTGATAATCAGGATCTCATCTTTTCTCTCTTTCATAAATAGACACCTGTGGTGTCCTTTTATGAAACAGAGATCAGCGGCGATCCTGAGGATTGTTGCTGATCTCCGATCATTAGTGGTTTAGGAAACAGAGATGATCAGCGGAGAACATGTTCTCCGCTGATCATCTCCGCACACAGATGGCCAGTGTATGAAGGAGCAATGTCAGCCCTTCACTGGCAATCTGTGTTCTCCCTCCAGATTCTCCAGCCAGAGTAATTTACCGTTGCTTAGTAAACGGTGTTTGACTGATCTCTTGCTGTAATCTCGCGATATTATAGCTTTCAAAGCA